GCCTCAGCAAACATAAGTTACTTTATTAGCGTTTTGCATGAATGCTACTTAGATACGATTTCTTCTAATAGCATTAACAGTGTTTTGTATGATGCCTATTAATATTAATAAGAAATAGTTATTGCTAATCTAAACTGGACTCATTCTAAATAAAACATATGTCCTGACATAACTTATGAACTTCTTGAAGCAGGTACTAATTAAACTCTAAAACCTGAAGATCAATAATACATTTACTTCAAAGATAATCAGTTGAGAGTAATGAGCAACCTCAACTATAATTGGAAGAGTTTCACTTTAAATTTGCAAGCAAACGTTAGTCAATATGTCTCCGTATTTCGAAACTTCTGAGTTGTTATATCAAATGAAACTTGCAATACAACTACTATTCTTGCCGTAGAGTAGCCAACAATTGTATACTACATTGGAGATCCCTAAAAAAAATTTAGCATTGACAGATGGTATGATGCTACTAAAAGATGTGGTGTTGTATTATAATCATTTTAGGTATAATTTCCAAACGGTACTGTAACTAACTTATTGAATTCAACACTACCCTATTTACAATTATACTATTGGGATGTAATTAACTTTTTAGTAGAAGCTAATGACAATTCAATAGCTAATTACAGCACATTAACACTTACTATCACAATAAAAGGATCTCTTTTAAATGGTTTATATAATACAACAAACTTTGATATCTAATTTATTGATCTCTGTAGTTAAGCTATACTATCATAAGATGTTTAAAAAAAGGAATAACCAATAAAATATTTCATAAACTAGAGAAACCAATTTTTAGAAATAGATGATATAACTTCAACAATGTCAAGCTCAAAGTGTGGTAATTTTATTTATTCCATAATTAACGTAACTGATAATAATGGTCAAATTTTAAATGAGAGTATATTTTAATTCACCACTAACAGCTAGATTGGAGTTTTTACTAATGATGAAAAAAATGTTAATCTTTCCCCTTTAAGATTATTTGTTAGTGCAAGATAGAGCAGATATACCTCTCAAACTATAACTTTAATTTATCAATTCGATATGAAAATGTCCTGTGATTATGATTAAATCATTGCTCCATCGTTAAATAATACCTATTATTATGATATATCAGATTATCCTTTAGTTATTGACAATATAATTTTCCAGTAGTTGTACCCAAATTACTGTCCTAAAATCGATTAAATTTATTGCTAAAATTATGACACTTAAACCTCTTGTAATGATAATATATTCAAAGATAAATTAAAAGATGAAACTTTATAAATAGAAACACAAAATACTGGCTATGCAGGCGAATATAAATTGATTATTTGGGCTCAAGTCAGTAGGTCTGGACTAAAAAATTCAACATTTATCAATGTTCTACTGACTAATAAATGTAAAACAAATAAGATTCTTCTGGAAAATGCTCCATCTTCACTTATTGAATATGATATCAGTTTTGGAAAAGAAAAGAATACAGTTTAGCTAAATTGGACAAAGAGTGAAAATCTATGTCCTCATCCTATAAATTATTAACTTTGGGATATTTCATCTGACTCTGAAGTACATCCAGATTCTGAAGTTTTCTTGATTAATCAGCAAACAGGGTAGGTCTAAATAAGCACCATCTAATAATCAAAAGTTAAACTTTACACACTTAAAATAGTGGGTCAAATTGAAGACAATTTTAATTCGACTTCATTCTGAGTAAACATTACCGATAATTGTATGACATCTCCAGTAAATTCCTACAAAATATCAGATATCAACTATTCCATAGGAGATTAATAGTTTTAGGCTAGCTTTGATGAATGGAATACTAGTTACTCATACTGTGGAAGCTTCAAATACCAAATAGGGTATCTAATGCCACTGGGAACATTGCCTGCTTTTATAAAATTTGATTCAATTACAAGAAATTTGAAAATAGAAACATATGATCTATCTTTTGAGGGAGTGTATTAATTTTACTAAGTCGGTATATTGTAGTAAAGAAGATAGTTACATAGAGTATTTTAAGTAAGGCTTGTGAATCCTTGCCATGAATCAACATTAGTATCTAATTTTACTTATAAGGCTTATAACTACTCTATAGATCAGCCATAAATTATAATAGACCTAAATAATTTTAAACTGTCTGTGAATGAATCTTTATGCGGAAAAATTACTTTGGAAGTTTAGAACTCACAAGAATTTTATTAGTTTGATGGACAATTTCTTTAAATATATTCTGATAAAATTTCACATTAAGGATCACATGATTTTGATATAAGAGCTCATCTATCTAATTATAGTAATGTTACAGCCAATGAAGTATTGAAATTAGACATATCTTTAAATTGTTTATACGACTCATTTTTTCTGGCTATAGACCAAAGTGAATCTTATAACATTAAATGGCCAGCAAAGAAATTTCCTTTGAGCTATTTTACTTCTAAATTTGGGTGTCCCTACCTAATAAATATAGATAATTCCTATGATTAAAATTTGTTTCTTTTCAACAGCTCCTCGAAATCACTAAATGTTTACACCGAAGATACTAGAATGAATAGCACATATAATTTTACTATAAAAGCTACTTTGGAATAGGCATGAAAATCTTAGTACTATAATTATTCAATTTTTGTTAGAAATGATTGCTCCAATACAACTATTTATCCCTAGTAGCTATTATACGAATTCTATTATGACATTGCTTTAACCTTCTAAGAATTGACAATGCTTTAATGGACTTAAAGCTTATAAGATCAGTGTCCAAAAATTATTTACAAATTTTATAGACTTGATGGAGTTCATATCATTGCAATAAAAAATATTGAATTCGATAACTAAGCAAATATTCTTTCATTCAAAATTAACACACAGAAAATCCCTTTCGAAAATTAAAGCTTGATAATAAAAGGGTATGTAAATGATATTTTTGCTGAGTCTTTGTTGACTGTTCATTTAACTGATAAATGCAGAGAAGTTACTTTTAATAAACCTAAACTAAGTGAACACTACATTTATGAGTTAGGATCGCCTCAGATAGAAATATCCCACACTAATTGGACTTTCTCAGAGGATCTCAAATTTTGTGGATCAGTCTTCTATTCTATAATTGATTAAGATGAATAAAATATAGACCCAGAAATTATAACTATAGACTTAAATAATGAAAAGATACTTATTTCAACATTTAACGAAACCAAAGTTGGAATGTATTACATCAGTATAAAAGGCTAGTTAAAGCCATCAGGGTTCAGCAAATCATATGATTTTCTGAATTTTACTCTATTAATTAAACTCCCTACAGCATTCACAGTTGGAGCTAGCTGTGATTATGCTATATTAAAATATATACCATAAATTCCACCTTTAAATTACGAGATTGGAAAAAGTGGCCAGGTAAAAAGTTTTAAATTTGCTAAATGGACTACCAATGAAACGAAATGCGAATTTTAGTCTTATCAAGCTTTTTATAATGGAAATTTATTGCCTATTCCATCGATTATATCTTTCTCTGAGTCATCTAGAATGTTTAGCTTAATGACACAGGAAATTGAAGAAAATTAACCATCTGGAAATTATGAGTTAACTGTAGTAGGCCAACTACCTAATGGAATAAAATATAGTACAAAATTTAGCTTTAAAATAACTTCTTCAAATTAGGAAAATTTGGAAACACAATAGTAATTAAAAAATGAACTTGCCATCTAGAAAGAGGTTGATTCAACCTTTTTTGTTTCTAAGGACTTTTTCAAAATCAATAATAGAATAATAAAGAGAGACAGCATCAAGAGTAATTTAAATTGTACAATCAGTAAAATAGATATGCTGGGAAAGGTTACCCTTAAATTTTCCAAAGATATAATAGAGTACTCTTAGTTTTCGAAACTTAAAATCACTAATGCTTTGGTCATTAAATTTATTTAATTCGGAGATGACTTAAGATCGCTATCAGTAAAAAATTCTCAAATAGGAATACAAAATTGGACTTACACAATGATTAAAAAAGATACAATAGAAATCTAGATAAACTGGAATAATCCTCTCCTAATCTCAGTATCTTAAGTAAAACTATTTGAATTTCATTTAATTTAGGACTATGATTAACTTTCAGTTTAATTCAAAGTTCAATACTTCTTTGTAACAGAAGATTTGACTTAGATGATAGAAAAAGATGCAATCATTTACTCAAAAGTTCCACCACAGCTCCCAAATACCTGTAAGTTTAAAAATTAGATCATTTAAAATTTAATAAAGTGGCAACCAAACTACTAATGGCTTCCACAGAGTAGGTTGGCTCTACTATGACAGGAACCGTTTCTTTCAATTTCGCTCTTACTATGCTGATGGGCTTCTCTTTAAACAATCTTTGGATGCTTTTGAATACATTACAGATAATGGTGCATCTTCCAATGTTAGGAATATCTATTCCCTCAAATGCAATAAATATGTTCTAAAATTTGATCGGAATATCCAATATGAATTTAATCCCTACTGCCTATATTAAAAAATACATTCTTACTTTTGTTAAAGAGTCAAATAGTGATGTCAAAGGAAATTTTGCAACTATGGATATCTTTTGATTTCAAGATTAATTTTCAACTCTGCTTTTGCTTTAACTATTTAAGTTATGAATCTACAAGTATTTTATTGAATTTAGGTACAGTATTCTTGATTTTAATTGGGCTTGGATTACTATCTTTAATTATTTTGATGTCTAAGCTAATAATTAGGAAAAATTAAAAGTAAGATTATTCTGGCAATTAATTATATTAAGAGCTATGAAGATATATGATATGATAAAGCAAAAGATATTTTTCAGCAGCTTTATCAGATCAATTTTGAAGGGGTATCTCAACTTTGCTATCGCTATAATGATTGGATTAAATAATCTAATCAATTCTGCTATTTATGAAATTGGTACATCTTTACTAATGGGATTAATTATTTGTTCAATTCCTTTGGGATTTTACTATTTCCTAAAACTAAAAGCAAATTAGCTTGTTGAACCTTAATTTATGACAAAATTTGGATCTCTCTACTTGAATCTAAAGCCAGATGAATGGAGTGCAGTTTAATATACTGTTGTTTTTCTAATTAGAAGATTAATTTACGCAGGATCAATTGTCTTTTTCTAAAGATTTCCATTGCTATAGCTATTTATTCAAATAGAATCAAGCCAATTTATGCTATTTTACATTCTTTACTTTAGACCACACGACCAGATTAAATTAATTTATTTTGAAGCATTCAATGAACTATCTATTTTACTTTTATCTTACATGTTGGTACCAATAACTCTAGAATGTATAAGTGATACAGATACAAAACAAAATCTTGGCTATTTTATGATAGCAGTAACGATTCTTAACATTATTGCAAATTGGATGAATCTAGTCTTTTCAATGGCTATTGGCTTGATTTTTAAGTTGATTAAATTTATCTAGAAAATGAGAAGAAATTCGCTCTCTAAAAATAAAAAGAAATTTAAAATTGAATAAATAGAAGGTATCATTGGCAATACTCAGGCTTTAAAACAGAATAAATAAGAAGAAAATGAGTAATATAAATATGAAACATCCAATGATATTTTTACAAACAATAGCTATGAGAATTCAATTAATAATACAGTAGACAACATTAATATAACTCAGAATCATTTATGTGAA